CATTAAGCTCAGTAACACATTTCCAGCTGACGCTACTCTGTATAATGCTCCCATCTGTACTGCCAGCAATACTCCCAGGCCTTTCGTCTGCTGGCTTCTGCTGCTGTCATGGTCCAGCTCCATCAGTGACTTTTCCACACTGGGGAAAAGCAGGAACTGGTGGGAGGCTCCAGCAAGTCCTGGGAGTGGCTGAGGCTCAAGAGGAGGCTGGGAGTGGAGGCTGGAGGAAATGGGATAGCTTTGGGCTTCCCACACCTCTGAACTGGTCTCTCCTCCTCCCTGTCACGGCACCTTCCTGTGGCTATTCCCAGATACAGAATTATCCTCATTGTCTTATGAGGAATTGCACTGAATATTTGGATTATGAAGAAAAGGTTTGCTTTGTGCAAAGCTCACTAGCGAGAATAGCTTGATTTCCAGTTGGGCACCTTAAAATGACCACATTTTCAGATATGTTCAGCATTTTACATTTATTTCCCAGATAATCTTGAAAATTTTGACTACGGTAGCCAGAGAGACTGAATTATATGAAAGGAATTAATTACTGTAGGAAGACTAGTCAAAAAAATCAACATCTTGTGCAAAAGTCCAATTCCTGTGTGCATTTCAAAATTCTATGAAAATATTACTGGATAAAACATTTTTTAACACTCATATCTATTTCATGGAATTATTCTTATTTATTTTAGTCTGCCCCTTATTTGCTATTTGTACGCTAAAATCTGTTTATGTTTTAAGAGGTCATCTGTCATACTTCCACTGTTTTCTTCCAGCAGTTTTGCATTTGTCTTCATTCTTGTACCTCAGATAATTTAAAGTTTCTTCAGTTTCCCTTCTTTACTCTCCCTCAATTTTCATTCTCTTCTTGGGTTGGACTTTTGTTTAGACAGGCTGTTCTCAAAGCGGAAACTTAACAGAGTCATTTTAACTCTCCCCCCCCCCAGCTTGAATACGTGGCAGCAGTAGGGCTGCACCAAGACACACCAGGAGGAACACTCATACGGACACTGTGGCTACTGGGAAGTGTGACAGTGATTCATTTTCACAAGCTCTGACAGCACTGTCTCTAAACCACAGATCCCTTAAGTCAGGGAAACTTTCAGATGGACATCCTGGGACTATCTTAATACTTTTGCACCCCCAAGCATGATACTGGTGCTAAAGTGGAGGGTTATGCTGCATCTTAGATGCAGCTGTGTAGTGTGTACACAAGTTTCTTGACTCAGAGAGGTTGCTTTGAAATGATTGCTCTGTTCTAAATTGTTGCTGGCAAATTGTCGTGAACGTGGGAAAGAAACAAGAGTGTTGAGAGCTCTGTGCATCATTGAAATATTTAAATATTATGCACAGTGACACCTATAATTCAAATTTACTGTGATAAACACAGCAGAAATGACCTTAGCATAATGTTATTCCATATTCTAAGCCAGATTCTTGAGGTTTGTTTTATTTATATCACATGTGATGCGAAGAAATAATTCTAGGAATATTTAGAAAGAAATATGATATATTTTCTTTATATTTTCTTTTTACGCTGCCAAAATATTGCAGAGAAATCAGTGGTTGAGGACTCTTCTGTGTGGCTGAAGATTTATTTTTAACCTCTCAGTGTGCAAAAATTGGGAACAATTATTAAGCTGCCCTAAAACTGCCGATACAACCTGCTGGCAACAGATGGTGTGAATGAAAAGCCAGAAGTGACCATTTTTAATATTAATAGATTTAAAAATTTAGTTCTTTAATCTTACCTAACCTCTTGTGACCGAGTGTCTAAGGTATTGTCTTAAAGACAATATCAATAGCCTTGTTTTGAGCATGAATCAACTGCAGAAGTGGATCTTCTGCAGTACTTCATAAATGATGCTGTGTGCTCCTTGTCTCTTCTGACCTTAGTGAATGATGAGCACTAGCATTTGTTGCTCTACAACTTAAATAAGACCAAACTCAGCTGGAGCAGTTTTGCTGCAGGTAGCGTGTGGCTGCACTTTGAGGATTCTTTGTAGGTCTAAACTTGCAGGGTAGTTAAGAACCAACTCCTGTCAATGCCTAGGGAAGAAAAGGTATTACATTATCAGATATTATCTCGCTCTTGCTGTATTTATATATATCAACTACAAAATCAGGAAGTATTGCCAGCCATCATTTGGACAAAGTTGGCATAAACACACAAACACACACGCACACACACAGAGAACAAAACAAAAATCCCAAGCAAGCCTGCTTTATCTTTCAGTTAGTTATGGATTGTGGCAATCTGTCTCTTGGATAGTGTCTGGTGTCTAGTTTAGGTAACGTGTGGATGGCTGGGTGCAAGTTTAACTGGCTAGCCTTTCCCAAAAGTTCCTGTTACCAGGTGGGATGATGTTGTGCTGCCGGTGAGACTGCTTTTTGCCTTAGGTGCCACTGCTGGTGGGGACAGACTGACAGCAACACAGAATTTCACAACATTACAGACAGATGACAAACTTTATGCGCCTGAATCTGGAAGAGACAAAACCTCTCTCTGCAAATCATAGCCTGCTATTTAAAGAACCATTCCTTTCTCTGTTTTTAATGCCCTGATCTGCACAGAGCCCAGCTCCTGGCAGGTCAGCAGCTCCTCACCCACAAACCCCAGTGGTCTCCAGGCCTCCTTCCTGCCGTCGCTCTGCTCTGCGCTGGTGGGCCCCTCTGCCCCTTTCCACCCACACAGCCACAGGCAGCAACCACGGACCATGGTCAGGCCGTCCCCTGACAATACAGCATGTGGGAAAAGTGCTTCCAGGGCGACCGGCAGCCCGGGAGGAGCTCAGGCAGAGAGTAAAGGCCGATGCTCCATGGGAGAGCACTGAAAGGACACGGAGTTTTCTGAAGAAGGAAAAACGAGCTCTCCCCTGTGGGCTTCTCTCTGGAGGCTACGAGTGAGATTTCTGAATTGGAGGAGGGACTGGAAGGAAAAGACAAACGGTGAATAAAAATAGCCAGCTGCACAGATGCAACTTGAATTCAGCACGTGATGGTAATGATGCTAGGTACTGCCCCCAGACAGCAGATGCTGGAGGGGAAGATGCACATCAGCACCAAACAGCCTTGGGTCGGACAGTTGGGCATGCCCAACTCAGCGACACCAACGCATGATGAATGAGGGCACAGTAAGACCCTCACTGAAGTGTTCTGTCAGCCTAAACCTAAACCGGTGCTGAAAGCAGTGCCCCAAGGCGCCGTGCCTGCCCCCTCCTCATGCTCCCTGTGGGGAGGCCAACAGGGCACCAACCCAGCAGTGACAACCGGTCACTTTATAGCTGCTGCCACTTTCAGGAGGAACTGAAGCCTGCTCTTGCTGTATGGTAATCATCCTGTCATTCACCAGGCTGAGTAGCAGGGTAGAGTTCCTAACTGTTCTCTGCTGTATTCTGTCCTACCAATTCTTGACACCCAGTGTATGTCTTACTGAGCAGTACAGAGTTGAGGGATTCTTCCATTTTCTTCATGATTACAGAAACATCTGTAACCAGTAACCCTCTGGTGATTGTAAAAATTCAGTGTCAAATTTTCCCCAATATTTCCCCTTTTTTTCCCCATTTTTAATAGTGCAAACTTCAAATGAGTTTCCCTTCCAAGTCTCTTCCATAGATCTGTGAACTATGTATGGCCCTTGCCTTTATTGTCATACTTTACAAATGCTCACATTCCTTTGGTGCAGCATTCAACTCTGCACAGTCAGACTCCCTATCTAAATTGGAGTTGCCGAGTGTTTTGTATTTTATGGTCTGAAGTTTATGTTTCGTGTTTATCTCTGATTTCTAACCTGCAGTCAGAAGACCAGACTATTACAAGCAGTGGAGCTGAATGCCAAAAGCATTCGTGCCTCATGGATTTGTTTCATTTTGAAGTTAACATAACATAGTCAGAAAAAAAGCACTTATCTCAATGCACGTGCAATTACTACTACAGAATTCCTTACTGTTAGGACTTATGTTTTCCAGGATTGTGTTGCAAATCTGTCTCCTCAGCTTCTAGTAGAACTTCTGCAGTGTCATCACTGAACAAAGTCTGAATATCAGAACACCTATCTCTGAACGTGTCCACAAAACTCAAGTTTCCTTAAAGTGAAGATATGCTATGCTCACGCAGGAAACAGTGGCAGCATTTCCATGAATGATGTATTCTTAATACAACCTGCTCTTGTTATTGCAACAAGGCAATTTAGAAGGAAGAGAGAAAAAAAAAGAGTTCAAGGAAAAGGCATAGGATTGCTCAGACCATTATAGAAGTGGAACTTGGATTTTCTGTCTTATTTTACTCTATGTGTGTATAATATTTACTTATCATTCATATTTACATTGTAGCTTACAAATGGTGGACAATGATTAACTGTTAATCTTTACAATATCATCCCAGATAATATCCCAGATCACTGCTCTGTCTGGTAGACTTTTTTTGCCTCATTTGTAAACTTATTTTGCTTATTCTCAGAAAAGAGAGCTTTTCATAGAGAAGTACTAAATCAAATAAGCCCTTACAGCTCCAGGGGAACACCTCCAGTATTATTTGCATGGGAAATGAGAATGGCACAGGGTTCCAGGTGCTGCCCCACCTTTCCCATACATAATTTTGCTGCAAACATGAACAACCAATGCCAGTAAATGTCTCTCACTGTAGTGTGGCATGGGACCCAATGCTGGAAATGGGACTGAACTATCTTCAGCACAAGCAATTATGCTATGAGCTTAGCACAGATGAAAGGCACTTGAACCAATTGGTGGTGACTTATGAGCACTATGGGAGGAAGTCAGCCCACCACAAGCAAATTCTTCTGCTGTTTAGATGTACTAAGGAAGCACTATAAAAGCAGAGGGAAAAAAAAATAAAAATAAATTAAAAAAAAAAAAATTGGAAAATATACCTTTAGTAGTTTTGTTTTTTTTTTTTTAATTGTGTTTCTGTCCACTATTTGATCTCCAGCTCTATTTGCTTGTTCATTTTTGTTAATTTTTTTTATTTTTTTCTTTTTCTTTTAGTTTATATATTGAATCATATGAAGTATGGATTATGCAGAACAGCCCACCTCTAGTTTTGAGTGAAAGGAGGTCAACATTTTACAGGGCTTTACAGGACAGAACCTTAAGTACTGCAAGAGTTCCTGACACCAGGTAAGCTGAAAAAACTGCAGTAGCTCAACTTCTTTTTTTGAATGAATGCCTGGTGCTGGAAGGTATCTAAAGGCATTGAAAAGGCATTTGAGGACACTTAATATCATACAGGCAGTAGTCAGTTTCTTCCAAAATTCAGTGTCTCAGCAAGCAGAGGCAGAGATACAGATTTTTTAACAACCAAAATAAGAAAGGTGAAGGCTTCATCCCACTTCTAGGTGGTATTTTAAGGCTAGCATGATTAAGACATGCCTAGTGCTGTTTACCTTTTTATTTTTCTGATAGTAGTAGCAGGTCAGGGTTCCAGGTGGCATTCAGCATGAGAACAGAGCAAGCTTCAAGCTTGTGCCTCATTTGTTTAGTCATTGGACCATTTCATATTTTGAACATATTCTTCCATACTTCAGCTCACATCAGTTGTCCCATATTCCTCTTGACACAGCCCTGTGATTGCTGATACCAGTTGATGATTTGTTCTGCCATTGGTAATTCTGAGATGTAATGTTTCTGGAGAATAATCACAAGGAATTAAGCCATTTGGGGCAATGAGCGTCAAAGCCTATTAATTTAAAACCAAGAACAAATATCAAATAAAAACGTTAATGATATGGGCACGTAAAAATATTTATTTAAAATTCTACAAAATTTCAGCAGCCCATGGCCAGAACTGTGAACCTAGTGATGAGATGTTATATGATAAATAAGCACTGAGCTTGTAGAAATTATTTTAGCTGCAGGAGTTAGAACTAAAGATAGTGTTAAATCTGCATTTATAAAACAGCAATCTTCTGCACACATAAACCCCACATTTGCATGTGTAATGTAAGTTGGTTCTTGCTTAGGAAATGTTTTGCCAGTGCAATCATGAAAGACTGCTGAGACAATTGTTAGAAGAGTGCATGCATGTAATTTGCAAATTCTATCTGATCTATTGTGTACAAATATGTGAATCTCAGTACACAGCAGCACACAACTTCAAATCATGAGGTAGACAAGCAAGCCACCATAATAAAATGTCTTTTTCTTCATCATTCTTAAATTCCCAGAGGTCGGCAGCAGTCTTAGACCTTCCTATAATAACAAAGCATTTTAATGGGTATTCATATATTTGCAATGACATTCCTATTTCCCTTTGTCAGGAAGATGTTGACCCATTCTTTTTTATATATTGCTGGTACACTGAAGTTGTGTAGGCTCACAGCATATTTTCATACTGGAAAAATGCACCATATTCTAACTTGGAGGCTCTCTGCCATTAAGCTACTGTCTGTCCCTGTATTTAAAGTGACAATAACTGTACTTAATGTCCTTTGCAAGATGCTTGCTTATTTATTACAGCAATTTATATTGCTGTAATGCATTAACAAACCTATTTCCAGCTGACAAAAAAATTACTTTTTTAGTTTTTATCAGTGAAATATGGTCAGTCATCCAACAATTTGCTTCTTTGGCATACCCTCCACTTGCTATAATGAGGAATAAACCAAGAATATATCTCAAGAAATATATGGTTAGGAACAATGCTTTTATGTTTTCCATATTTTGTTATTTTTGCCTCAAATCACGGTTCAGTTCAGTGTGATCTGACATGGCTGAAATACTGAAACCCCCACTCCTCCAAAGCAATGTTTATTATAGAAACCCACAAACTTAACCTAACCTAGAGCAGCTTTTCCAGCAGTGATATAATTACAGTAGTTATTGTTGCAATAAACCAGATGTTCCTGAACTGGAATGAAAGCACTTCCCCCTGCCTCCCGCATCACATTTGTTACGTTGCCACTTTTCAAGTTTCACATCAGCTGTTCAGAAAGCTCTTTCCTGATTGAGTGTTATTTACAGATTCTTGCTGCATGAGTCTTTTAGCTTAAATAATGAAACTCTGGCAAATTCTGAATTTTCATTGCTTTCCTTTAAACCCCAGACGTGACAGTTATCAATGCCACTAATTCTTGCCCAGGGCCAAAGACTTTTTTTGTCCCTTAAGATAGTTTTACTTGGCTAAAAAAAAAAAAAAAAAAAAAAAAAACCACTTTGAAAAAACTACTTTGCTTTCAGATTGAATGAGTGTATTGTTCTCTACATAAAGAAATGTTCTGCTCCTCCAGAATCGATGAATTTTGGGCAGACTTCAGTGAAGACATCATTTTACGCCACCGTTCTGCTGGATAGGCAATAGAGGTAGCTTTGGAGAACTGCAGCTTTTTAACTGCTGTATCAGTTGTGGTTACAACTGTGAACCATGAACAACTGTTCAAGGCAAATAAAAAGACCATATTTGAAACCTCATCAGAAGACTGTAGTTAATCCTACACTGGTCCATAAATATCTGTCATTATTTAAACATTGCACTTCTTATATTTTTAACAGTGCATTAGTCAACATATTTTTCAATATTTCCCAGCCTAATCAAGTCCTAACTACAAAGAATAATTTGCCAATAAAGAAATGGACTGTGTTTTAACTACTAGAACCTTAGATATGAAAGTTGTTGTATATATTTTACCATATGTGCAAGAAAACCTGTCTAGGAGCAATGAATAAGAACAGTCAAGGAGAACAGTTAGCAGATTGTTTTATTACACTTACAGTGCCCTATAATAATGCCATAAAGAAACACAAACCGGCCTTTGGGTTTTGTGGAGTTACAGATAAGTTCTCACGAAAATTCGAGAACGGTAAGAATGAAGGATCTTATCAATGTGCCATCTTATCATGTGCCATGGCAATCCTGGAAGAAACCTTTGTCATGTTCAGTTATACGGGCTACTCATTTTTCTGTTTGTTAATGGTAACCTATTAGTCAACCCATCCCTGCGGTAACTGCACTGCAAGGAGGGAGACAAACCAGGGATGAATTCACCTCGGGAAGTAGTCAGCTCAGTTTTCATTTCGTAAAATGCGAATGTTTCTTATAGAAGGCATTTACATGACTCTGAAACGCAGTTCAATTTTTGACTGATGTGGTAGGGGATGCAGACATTGTTGGCGGGAATTTACAGAAAACTTTGAAAACGGTCCATAAAATCTCTGAGGAAGCCCAAGAGGCACCCACACGTTTGGAAGCAGTTTATAAAGACAGCTCTGCTGCGCAGCCACAGTCGGCTCCCTGCATTCAAGAGAAACTATCGATTTCACATTTTTGCCTTCCTAATGAGAATGTGTCAGGGCTGAAATAAATAAATAAGTAGGACCCCTGTCCACGGAGCCTTGACGTCCTTTCCATTCCGGAGGCTGGGAGGCCCCAGTGTTTCCTCTTCTGGCCGTGACATGCCCAGTGAATATTTCCACCACCCACACTTCATTCGTTCTTAACTATCCTCACCCACTCATCATTACAGCTGTGCAAAGCATCCATTACAAACCCTGAAGCCATGTGAATCTTACCTTCATAACTTTGTTATGTGCTTCACACAGCTGGGTTTGTTTGGGCTTTGAGTAAATTACCTTTTGAGATGATCGACTCTGGTTTTATGCAAATTTGGGTCCGAGTTAAGGTGAATGATTTATGGGTTGCATAGTTTGAAAATCGCTGAGAGAGTCTCATATCACTGCATCAAACTCCACTGTGCAGATCTCTGTCACATTCATGGAAATCTAAAAAGACACTGCAAAAAGGAATAAAGTCCCAAATGTGCTCTGTGCATTGCAACAACTCCTAACTTGAGCAACCTGGAGAAAAAATGAGCTGTTTTTAACTCTTTAAGATTTTATTGCTTCGAAGTGTAATAATTTTTTTGTTAATGTTCAGTACTCATGTCACTAGCATTTCAATTAATTATGAACTCGTGCAAGTAGGTGCCATGACTGTATTCTCAGACAGAAAGAAAAGGGAAATCCACCCTGCAAAGTTCAGATTCAAAGGTAGATTTTCTATAGTCAAAATGGGAGATTTGTTTGGTTGATGAAGTTTGAATTTGCAAAACACAATTAAAAAAATGAACTGATGCAAAGGACAGGTCTCTGTGTAAGAGGCTCTGTGACTTCTTAGTAAGACAATATCAAAACAAGTAGCAGAGAACTTCATGTTTTAATTTTTAAGGGAAGCTCAGGCTATTTGAAGCAGGAGCACCAAACAGATCACTTAATATTTCAGCAAGAAAAGAACTTCATTTTGGTTCATAAAATAACCTTTTTTTATCTGCTAAACAATCTTTTTCTTTTTTACAGTGAATGAGTCCATGCAGCAGATCATAAACACATCACCAAGTCATGATTTTGGAACATCACTTCCTGCTGATACCTAAATATTAATGTAAGTGAAACCTGAAGGGGTTGCTTTTAGTGTGTGGCGAATGTTGTGTTGTCACCAGGTAACCAGTGTTTTGTTTTTTTTTTTAATCATTGAATGTGCTCCTTTATCAAAGTGCCTTTGAGACAAATAGAAGTAAGGCTTGATCGATTTGTTTAAATCCTGACAATGGCTTGAGGTGGAATTATCCTGGGCTTAAGGACGTATTGAGAGAAGTATCGAGACATGGGATGCAGCTGAGCAAAGCTAGATACAAGCAGTAAGCAGTGATAACTGAACTAGTCACCATAGCACAAGGTACTAAGAGGTCTCAATTTACGTTCTCCTAAATGTCTGAAATACTTAGGATGAACCAGAGCCTGCAGGTGCTGTTTCTTCCAATCAGCTATTAGGGGGATGTGGATGAGCAGCTGACGTGCAGCTCTCTGCTGCCAGGCATGGTGAGGTGAGCTCTGTTCCCTGTGCCTGCTGAAAAGGACTGAGTGCCCTCCCCTCGGCAAAACATGGTGGAGGTGAAAGAGGGTCTGAGCAAACATTCAGTGCTGCAGAGGTCAGTGCTTTAGTCTGGGTTGCTACAAGCAAAATTCTTCTGTTGATCAAGAATCATTAAATAAAAATGGTACGTAAAGGATCAGCAATTATTATCAATAATAAGAATCAGGACCATTAGAGGTACTCCATAGAGAAATAAGTCACAAAAAGAAAATAGAAGCAGCTTAGTACTGCAACATCAGAACCCCAGACTCTACTCATAACAGTCTTTAATCACCACCTTCACCATGTCCATCTGTAATTCGTACTTGTTGAAACATTATGCTTGCCTTTTGCTTAGGGCCTGGTTTTGTGAAGTGCTGAGCATCCTCATCTCACATCAACATCAACACATTGTAGACTTTTACCTAGGGAGAGATGAAATATAGCACATAATGTTTCATATCGCATAGGTGTGGAAGGCTGTGAATCAAGGAAACAATTACTTTTAAATAAATGATGTGCAAATAGAAAAGTGATAACGTAATGCATGATTTGAGAGCGAAAGTCCAGCTCCTGTAAATTCATTTCAGTAACAGTAAAGAGTGGTGACATTAACAGCACTGTTCTATGGAGTCTATTGGCATTTCCACTATATAACATGGATTGCTGGAGATGGTAGGTCTGCCAGTTCAAGTCATACTGAGCTGCAATTTAATGTGAAAAAAATAATAATTTTTAAATTGCTGAAATGATGGAATTTCTCTCTTCTCTCCCTGCATCACAAACAAAACAGGATTTAGATTTTATGTTATGAACTGTTTGCCAACTCACATATCATTAACACCTTCCTTTTATATGAATGGATAATAGGAAGGAAGATGAAGATAAGCTACCTCAACATTTGAAAGATTTGCTCAACACAGACAGTCCTTCCTTTGCACAAGATTTTTTGATACAAAATGAGAAATACATTACAAGCCTGATTTAACCCTCATATTAACAAAAAAACAGTACAGACAATTTGTAACGAATGCTTAAGTAAGCATATCCTTCAAAAAAGAGATGTCATGAAAAACACTAAAAGTTAAATGCACTTGCACCAAAGCCTGTGCTAGCATTTCCATTGACTCCAGACAGAGGAGGACTTAGTTCCTGGGAAGTTCAGTTCGAAGATAGTTGTCTTGCTACTGGCGAGTCTAGGAGTATGGGCTCTATGGCCTTCCACATGAATGCTAAAGGGAATAAAGTGCTACTGATCCCTGTTTCTGAAATGATAAGTATGTGGAAATAAATTACAGTTATATGAATTTTAGAGTCCTACCAAAATCTCTGGATTACCACATCTGCAGTCTTACAAAAGGTAAATCTTCCCAGGTTCTTGTTAAATCTGTGACTTAAAGATGCAGCTCAGGACCTGTTTCAGTAATTGTTATCAGTTTTTTCAAAGATTTCAGTTACACTTATTAACTGTAGAAGGTCTGAAACTTGGCTTTGGCTGTATACAGAATTTTCCAAATTCACTGTTTGTAATCTAGAACTAAAGACTGATTGATTCCTGGGAATTTTAAAAGAAATTGGTTCAAACTGTGTCTGTCAATTTGTAGACCTGTAAGAGCTTCCCAAAGTTGATTCTGGTTTGGCCTGCATTTCAAAATTCTCTGATTCTGTTTCTTTTTCCTCTCTTGTGTTCTTTATTCACATTTGCTCACTGCTTGAGATGTCTACACTTTATACAGTTTTGAATAGGACTGAATATACAGTTGCCCACTTTTGAGCCATTACTACAGTGGAATTCAGCATGTTGTACGTTATATGGGTTGGAGAACAGGAGAGTTGCCTTGGGGGGGAGGGGGTGGAGTGAGGGGAATCAGCTGTGCTGCTGACATGCTGTCTGCTCAAAAGATGCTTGAACCCTGCTATCCTGAGCACAGGAGCACTCATGGAATGGGAGGAATGTTCTTTGTTCTCATCCCCAGCGAACAGCAGGACAGAAAACCCTCTCCATAGGCTTCTCCCAAAGACATGCATCACTGCTCCTGCAGGCTTGTACCACTCTTCCCAGTCTGCTCCTGAGTTCTGTCTCATCTCCATCTGCTCATTTTTTTCTACCTAAATCCCTGCCCCAAACAAAATCAAATGCTCCCCACCCAGATCTTTTAAATTCCTGAGCAACTTTGTATTCACCTTGTTTAGGGCAGAAACATGTGCTGAACTGTTTCTTACAGCTCAAAAGAGACTTGCGGTGGTTAATCCTACCATTTTCAACATGGCTGAGCTCAGCCTATAACAAAACCATCAGCAAAAATGTAACAACTTCACAACTGTGTATGTGTGCGTGTGTAGTATGTAGAAAGGAATTTGCAAAAGAATTGATCATCTTTCCATGAAGTTCCAGTAGGATCCACAATCAGGATGAGGATTCAGTTCAAATCATTTGTGAGTTTCATATAGAAAAAAGTGTATAGTTCTTAGCCATTTATTCTGTTGGGACTATAGCTTCTTGGTGCCCTTAGGGTTTCTTTTTCAGACATCAAGCCTCACCATTTTGGTTCTGAGCTGACCCAGTCTGAGCACCATATTGGGAGCCAGGGAGGCCACAGTAGTTGTAAAGTTTAGGCAGTCAATCATACACATCTTCTGGGCTGGAACCAGCCTCCACCTGGCCAGTTTCACAGACTAGTCTGGATTAGCAAGCCTTTGCCTTCCTGAGACCATGGCATTTGGAATGGTTGAATTACCTAGACAGGTCTCTCTACTGATGCTTTGCATAAAACAGTGCTTATTGAACTTGAGTGTGTCATATATGTCAACCCCAAATTATGCTGATATTGATGATCTTAATAAGACAGCATTTTATCCTCTGAAAGGGTTTGTGCATGATTCATTCCGTGGTCACTTGGAGGTAGGAGTTCTGTGATGCAGTGTGGTCAGCAGCAGGCATGTTGGGCAAAGAGAGGGAATGGTTAGGAGGCACTCCATAACCTGACATCTTCTTAAAGAGTTTATGTTAAGGTGAGTTATCACACATAGTCAACTCTAATCCCTTCTAAATGAAGGATCTGTTTATAGAATATCCAGGTCAGGATTATAAATCTCTGAACAAATCACCAGGTATAATTAAAAGGAATAATGTTGATTGTATTTTCCAGTCGATCTCTGTACTGCTTGGACTTCTCACAGATACATACAGATAGTATCTCTGTGAGCTAATAGTAACTTGTTTATTAGTGCACCTTTGTTTTTACCGCTGGCTTGAAACACATACTGGTATATTGAACATTGTATATAGCATAACAAACTGGTCAATTCTTTCAGTTTTGCAATGCTGTGTTCAATTGAGCTTTAGAGGTATTTCCAAAGAAATTTCCAATCTTTATTTATTCTTCGTAGATAAATTCGCTTTGCCTTTTTCATGCCAATTTTGTGGTCAATTTGTAGCAGTCATCTTCAGTTCACCAATGAGGATTTCACAGGAATGGAGAGGTTTCTCAACAAGTCATGGAATTTTTGAACAACAGAGTCTATTTAAATCTTTGTCATATTACTTTGCAACAAAAACCTGATTCTGAGAGATAAGACAACAAAACAGAATAGAGTACTACATGACCTAATCTTCCTCTTAAAGAAGTAGCACATTCATTTTAAATTGAATATTTGTTAATGACTCCTTGTAAGGAATTCAGAAAATGACTAAGATGACTTTAAAAAGCAAAGCTCTACTGACAGGGAAAAAAAAAAAAGGAAAAAGACGTTATGTCTTAGTAGGGTTAACAGGAACATATATGTATTCTATCAGTAAAGCCAATTACTGTAGTCAGTACAGTCGGTACTTAACTGGTAGATATTTGGCATAGTTAAAGGTGGCTTGTAAAGAGTAAGACTAGTACACAAATGTTCAATCCTTTCAATTAGAGCATTTTATCAAATGCAGTAAACCAGTGTATAACTTTGCTCTGAGAAAAAGGCCAAGATGGAAAAAGGATAATTATGCTTTTCAGGTAAATAACATTTTCCTGACAGGAGTCCAAGTTATATTAAAAAAAAAAAAAAAAAAAAAAAAAAAAAAAAAAAGGGCTACCCTTCTTAGTTTCTATTTTCCACTGAAGGTATAGGGAAAATGCATATAGAGGGTTTTTTTTTTTCCCTCTCAGTATTTGGTGGTCCTTCCTTAAAACTTTTAAAACCAAAGCCATTTTTCACATCTGGTTGGAACACAGATCTTTAAGACATTCAAGTAATTCAAATCACATGTAAAAATCTAAGCTACACTGTATGAAATTCAAGAACAATGTAGTTCTTACAGGGTCTGCAGTGTGCCACCTCTTTTAATCAATAACAGCCTCGGTTTCAGTTTATCTGCAAATGTAAGGCTACAATTAAGAATGATCTACTGCATTGTTTCAGTACTCAGAATAGCAAGTTACCAGATTAGTGGCACTTTACAACTATAATATTCTTATCCCTGTACCCTAGATGAAGTTCACAGCAATACAGTCTGTATCAGATAATAGTTCCAATGGAAAATATTGAAGATCACTAATATCAATACGCATTTCCTTATCTCAGCCATTTGTAACTGCTCATATTGACTTTCATTACATTCCAGCAGTTCTGCTTATTCCCAAATGGTAGTCATTAATTTCCATTAACTAAGGCACAACTATACATAATTTAAATTGTTTCCAATAAATGTTCAATTAATGTCTGTTATCTGCATTTAATTTCCATTGATTCCAAAAAGCTACTGTTGAGCTTAATTGCCACCATAATTAAAACAGTTTACCATGAGCGTAATTGGGTCTCCATTAATACCAATGGACAGCTACAAGGACTGATTACTCTCTTACTGTCAAGCAGTAGGGAGCAGTGCTACACAGAGATCACAGTGCAAATGAATGGCTACAAACCCAAACAGCTGCGGGCTGAAGTCGACCAGAGAACAGAATTTACCTCAGCTACAAATGCGTGCTTTTCTAGGATACTGGTCCAGATGGCCAGAAAATATTCTAGAGGTTTCCTTAGGCTTAGTAGGGAAGAATAAAAGTGAATTACATCAGACTGTTGAAAGTGGCATAGCATTCTGGCTTGAAATTTGTTTCACTTCAATTAAAAAGTGACAGCTGACAAAGGGAAGTTCTAGACCAAAAGAAAAATTGGTGCAACTCGTTTAATCCTTTTTTTTCTTTTCTTTTTTCCTTTATAATTTTGTCCATTTAAATACAGTGCCTGACCAAGAACTGGGAAGAAAAAAATAATAAAAGAATAAAACCTTTATCTGTAGGACTGCTTCAGATTGTTGGGGAGTACTCTAGGTCCATAGCAATAGCTTAAATTCATTGAGATTAGATCACTTCAACATATTGGTAAGTATTCTACATACAAGTCAGTTACATTTAGACTCTCAGAAATTGCCAATTCATGAGAACAAAACATCTGCTTAAGAGCGATGATCTTGACTAATGTTCCTTTTGAAGAGATAAACAAAAGCATCAGTTTGCTGAAAATTAAATGTTACTACATTTTCAGAACAACATTTTCAATTTTGCATTGCAAAATGTTTTTTTCCTGTTTTCCATACTATTTCAAACTGAGATCTAAATGGAATATTTTCCTTTTATTCGAATCACTTGATTGACCAACAAGTATTTTATTCATAATCATGCTTTGTAATGGCTTTCTGGATTGTTTTATTGCTTTTATTAGGGGGTGGAAGTAAAATTCACCCCTAAGACATTCTCTGAGATGAAAAATCTGGATTTTGCTGGGCTTCAGTTAGAGTATTTTTCACTAGCTTTGCTTTCTGAATATGTTCAAAGCCCTATCCAAAGTAGAGTTCATTAAAATAGGCCAGTCTTAAATCACTAAGAGCAGAGCTTTGGTGTCAAGAAATCTGTCTTACAAAGGAAAGATTGCTGCCTTCTAGCTACAAATGCTTGTAAGGTCTGCACTGCCAGTCAGAAAGGACCTCCAAGCTAGTCCTGTGCTAAAGTTGTCACGCATCCCACACTGTACTATGATCAAACCTCTTGTCTACTACGAAATGAAACTGAGTATGACTTTTCCTAAATTTTTATTGCAGCCTAATGTTTTTTAACAGTTCTGCATTTGCATGGCAAATACAACGCGTGTTGATTTGGGGCTGGAGAGCTTTAAATTACCATTGGACCTAAAAGCCCCCAAATTTGAAGATAATCCTGCTAGCTATTTATAGTGAACTGTTTTTCAATTGTAATAAATGTTAATTGTTGAGCACCGAGTTCTCAGCCCAGAAAAATGTGTGACTACGTCCATTGTCCTACTTGTGCTCTCTTATATCTGTACTGCTCACCCAAAGAAGAAGGAATCCTGTAGACTTGACAATCCTACTATCCTATAGACCCGAAATCAATAGTGTCAGGACATCCTTGCTTGCAGCAGTTGTAACATGGCTAATATGCAGTCAGGATGTGCTCCTACTTTTCAGACATCACTGTGCACCCAGTCCTTCCAGTCCTGCAATCCCACTCCTCCTAATTAGAGCTCCTAATTAGAGAAGTTCACCTCATACAAGAGTGTGAGCTGCCATAGCATTAAGTACAGAATGGCACCTGGAGGTGAGGAAAATTCCAAACTGAACTTGTGTCCTTCTTTCTCATTTATGAGAGAGATCTTAGGGTGGAATAAATTAAACAAAGGAAATTATGTCATCAAATCAGTTAAATTTATCTGTATATCCTTTCTGGAGCAATAAAAGGTGACCTTTTTTTGGATCTCCAAATGAAATTTGGAGCACAATTGAAAGAACAAATTGTAAAGACTGAAGTTTTGTTTTAGAAAATACTTTGCCAC